TATCATCAAATTTGGGAAAAAAAACTTCTCAAGTTTCGTGTATGAGCTCTAAGATTTAGAGCGATGCAAATGTTTTGTGTGGTGACTATTGTTTAACATTCTGTGAACTGATCACACTCCGACCGCTTTGCTAGGACCTGTCCTGGAGTTGTGTACGTGCCTTGTGCAGCAAGGGTACCCGAAGCCCAAGCTTCTTTAGCTTTTTGGCCATTCCCCCACTGCACCAGATCCTACAGGCAGGCAGCCTCAGTCCTCACATCCTAAGACCAGTCATGACCTGGAGAGGCTCACTATTCGCCAGAAGGCTACTCCAAACTTACCCCTTTTTGTCCCTGACTGAGTCTGTAGATATTACCTGATCCTGGACCCCTGGTCCCCATGCTTTGCTCAATTCTGTGGATAGAGAGTACGGTTAACCCGATGCAGGTTGCTCTAGAGTCCATTACTGATTTGTGAATCCTTGGTTCTGCTGATAACTTGGTTGCACCTGCAACGTCTGCAGCAGGGTGTGTGCCCCAAGTCCCCTTCCCCTCAGGCTGACCTAATTCCAGTGGCAGGTCTAGTTGAAGGCCCTGCCCTCTCCCTGTGTGCCCATCCTGTGAGCATTGGTGGGCTAGGCTCTGCTCAGCCTCATGACGGGAAATGACAGTAAGACGAAGGTTGGGGTATCATAGGTATTATCCTTTAGGATTAGGCTTGGGTTACCTGGAAAATATTTGTCTAGGAGAGTTCCAAATGTCTTTCTGAGTGACAATGGAAATATTAGAGTAATTGGGGAAAAAGCAGTTCTAAACATAGGTATGGCTTGAGTCCAAGCTCATGATTTTGTAGGGTGGAGAAAGTCATTGGGAGCAAATGAGGAGAATGGAAGAAAGAAGAGAGGGATGAGAAAGTAGAAAATAGTTAACATAATTGTAGATAAGTAATGTGACAAATAGCACAGAAAGATTTGAAGGAAAGGGGATAAATTATGTAGGTAAGGAACTTGGGTAAGGAATAATATTTGAAGGCTGTAGAGTTGAATGAGTGAATGCATGGCTTTAAATCATACACAGCATGTAGTCATGTGCTTACCCATTATTTATTTTAAAACCAGTTATTTGCAAATTGTCAAAACAAACAATATGATAATACAATTACCATAAGAGAACTTTCTGTGATTCAAAGAACTTCAAAGTCTAATTAAAAATTCCATGGGAATAAATGAAAAGATTACTTTATTTTACAAGAAAGTTTTTAATTATTTTTCAAAAATAATTTGATGCATTATAACCATCAATATTTGCAAATAAGTATGCTGGAGAAGTTAGTAATTTGGTAATCCTTCTTCATTCTTCTGACATATTTGGAAGATATACATGCCATATTTCCTTATAGCAGATCTTTGATTAAAGAGTTTAATTTTAAAGAAATAAATATTGTTTATTTAGACACTGGGAATGAATCTCTGCTTCCAGGGTCACTTAACATTTATCATTAAACACATATAAAATCAATGCCTGCTTCAGGGAGTATTAAAAGCCAAGTCTTCAGCTTATGTCACCCTTTGCTTATAGGAGACTCTTTTAAATCACTTTTAGATGTAGAACAAACTAAGAAACAAATTGATCTTCAAAGCAATGCACAGAAACACGTTCCCTTTTACAAACTACTCATAGTTAGGACACTGTTCATAATAATAGAGGCTTATCACAGTCTCTCCTTTGTTTGGATACAAGAATCTTTCCATGTGCTATTGTTTCTCTACTCATTTTACTGGGAGAATTGGAGAGAGATTGTCAGTTCTCTGTAACCTAAAACATTTCTGAGGTGCTAATGACAGAGGAAATGGTTTCTGTTGCTTCTTAAATTTTGGCTGTTTTTATTCCATTAGCGAAAGTTATTATTGAATGAAGGAGTGAAATCGTATCAGGAGTGAGAGGCTTTAGAAAATTCTGATCTATTTTTTTCCCTCTCTATCAACATTGTCAGTGAATGTGTTCACAGGGCTGGGTAGTTGAGGCTTGTGACAAAGCAAACTTGAATAACAAAGCAGAAGAAACAAATAATTAAAAAGTATTTTGACAAATAAAAACAATGATATACTAGCATCAAACCAAGTATTTGGCAAAGAAGAAAGTGTCCTTATTTGTCAAATACGAAAGCCCTAAACTTTGAGGTAGGAATGATGGATGCATGTGCTGACCCATATCACAGCTCCTCGCAGCAAAAGGTAACCTCGTCACCTTCCCCCGAACTGCGTTTTCTCTCCAACTTCCTTTATCCTGCAGAACTGCTGTCTTTAGTCTCCTGTGATTTTCAGTAGTTAATATCCTCCATCCATCATTCTTTTATGATGGGACCAGAGAGTTGGTGTGTTTGTTTTTTTTTTGTTTTTTGTTTTTTAAATCTCAGCAAAATAGTAATTTATGACATTTCTCCAAAGCCCAAGTTCCAAGTTTAACAGTAACAGGAAAAAAAATCAACAGCAGTTGCTATTTGAGGGCTCAAGACATTGTTTTCTAGAGAATTTTATATATACAGTTAGGCTTTCTGTTTCAGAGTATGAATTGCTTTTCAGATGAAGAATTGGGGGTGGAGCAGGCATGTTTGGGTGTGTTAGGGGAGCACCCAGGGTGGAAAAATACTGGGGAGTAACAAGAGGTTCATTTCTCTGGTCAGAGAGCCAAGTGAGGAGGTAGTTATTCTGAGCAAGCCCCTGACAGCATGTTGTAGGAGTGTACTGAGAGTGGGAAGAGTAGCAGCGGCGTCTGTGTGAGACTGAAGGTGACAAGAGAAATACTTCTCCAGGGAAGGCAGGGCCAGGGTGTCAGTGCAGCTTGACAATGCCTCTTTTCTGACACTAGAGCTTTAAAAGTATTGGGTAGGGCAAAAAATCTGTTACTTTGTTTTTCCTGTAAAATAAAAGACATTTTTCATTCTCACCAATAACTTTATTGATTTGGATATTTTGAGTATGTCGGCTCTGTCCTGCTATTGGCTTCTAGAAGCCACGGGTGCTGTTAAACACCTTCCAATGTGTAAGACAGCCCCACAGCAAAGAATTATTTGGCCAAAATGTGAATGGTATCAAGAAAATTCGCAAACTACTTTTTACATGTTCAGTCAGCTACAGCACCTTCTCCATACACTGCACAATTTTTTTTTGCATTTCAGTTGCATTTTTACCTTTCTTGAAATAATAAAGCATAACATGCCACAAATGTTGCGAAAATGTTTTCTTCCATATTCAATATTAAAATGGCTACACAAAAGTTTACCAATTTTGGTAAATTTTTAAAAATGCACACTGATATGACAGCTGTCACAATAGAATCTAACAAAATTCGTTCGAATGAAGTTAAAGACAACTAAGCACTACTAGAGAATTGTATGGAAAAAACTCAATGAACTTTTGGCCACCCCAGTATCCTGTTACCCCACCACACAAGGCAACTCCATGCCAAGCAGAGCCCAACATGTGCTCCCTTCAGCAATATTGCCTTTAATGCAAGTGTGAACATTTTCTGAGGCTCAATCATAGGTGTGTTGTGTTTAACATGGAATGAGTCATTGGTATCATAAATAGGAAATTTTGGTATTAACATATATTATTGAGGATATGTTTCTAAGACGTGAACAAAGCATCCTGTGAAAATCTTATTTTCTATTAACTTCAGATTAATTTCTCAAAATACACAGTCATCTTTCATGACCCAGCTGTATCCCACTTCCTAAATGAAGTATGTTATTACTGTAGTCCAAAGATAACTCCTACCAACTCCTTTAACTGTAGATCAGCTTAAACTATCCTGTCTAACAAGACCCAGAGAAAAAGTTATGTCTTGGATGCACCACTCAAAAGTAACTCCTGTGAACCCTTATAGTGTTGCCCCTTAAAATCTCACCCTGAATCCTGGATCAGCAAGACAGATTTGAGCCTTCCCTCCTGTCTTCTTGCCCGTCGACTGGCAAATAAACCTCTTTTCTTTTCTCAGTAGTCAGTGCCATAGTATTGGTGACAGTCCTAGGTATATATTTTGCCTTTACATGTTAACACTACCTTATAATCACACTTTTCCCACCATGTTTTTTTTAATTATGGTAAACTATGCATAATATAAAATTACCATCTTAAACCATTTCAAGAGTACAACTCAGGAGTATTAAGTGAATTCACATTTTTTTCATATTTAACTTTATTTATTTTGGTATGTTTTGATGATATTGATGAGACCAAGCTGATTAAAAGTGATGATACTGGTCTCTAGTTTCTTTTTTGTTGTTGTTGAAGTACATTCATATTCTTGTGCAGCCATCACCACCATCTATCTCCAGAACTCTTTCCTCCATCTTGCAAAACTGAAGCTTTATACTCATTAATCAGTAACTCTCTACTCCCAATCATACCTACTTTTGATTTCGTGTAAACGGTTTCCTTTGGTCTTATCACCACAACTACATTGTAAGTTCCTTGTAAGGAGCAGTTATGTATTACTTAAAACATACAGATATGGTACTTATGTCAGGCACTGTTCTAAGTACTTTGCAAATATTAACTTACATAATTATTCATTTTTGTATGTTCCAGCAGGAGACGTTAGGTATTTGTGGAATGAATTTCGGTATCGCTTAAGCATTTCCAATGGACTCTGGCAGTTACTCCGGTTGGAAAGTTGCAAAAGGAGCAGGTTACCCTGGGAAACTGACTTCGTGCATAATCTGACACTGGGTCAAAAGTTTAAAGAAGCCCTTTGTTTCAGCCACATTTAGGCCAGGTTCCCACTAAAAAAAGCTAAGAGGGAAAACTATTGCAGAATCATAGACACTGTAGGAAATGACTCAACCCACTCGAAGTTTTCTTTTCTGCGGGGACCCATGGAAGATTCCTTGAAGAGTCGGGAAGAGGGTAGATTTAGGCTTATCCGCCCAGGACAGACCAAAGCCGCGACGCCAGGAGGGGGCGGGGCCTCAGCCGGGGCAGGGCCCCGAGGGCGGGGCCCGAGGACGGAGCGGGGCGGGGCGCGCGACTGCAGCGGGCGGCGATGGCGGCGGACGGGGACTGGCAGGATTTCTATGAGTTCCAGGAGCCGGCCGGGACCCTTCAGGACCAGGAGAACTGTAACGCGAGCCCCGAGGCCGGGGCTGGGCCCGGCGGGGCAGGCGACGGCTTTGCGGCGCTGGCACGCAGCTTGGAGGAGAAGCTGAGCCTATGTTTCCGCCCCTCGGGTCTGGGCGCCGAACCCCCGAGGGCGGTCGTGCGGCCCATCACCGAGGGCAGCCTCCTCCAGGGGGACGAGTAAGTGCGGGCCCTGCCGCGAGCGGGCGGGAGCCTTCCCTGACCCTCGCCCTGTCTGGTGGCCTCGGCCCGCAGGCCCCGCCCCGCGCCCTCCTTCCGTCTCCCTCTGCCCCGGAGTCCCCGCCCCTCCCTGCTCGCGCACCTCCCTCCCTGGGGCTTTCGGCCTCCGCGCGCTGGACGGTTTAAACCCACTGCTCCTTCGTTCCCCACCCTTAAACCTCTGCCCCTGCCCCCTCTTCCTCCTGCTTTGAAACAACTGTGTCTTGATTTAGAGGGAATCTCCCTGAGGGGCCGGTAGTCAGAGGCAGTACGTCCTCGGGCACAGGTGTAGCCATTCATTCTTTTAACTAGTATTTGTTGAGAGTCCGTTAAGTGCCCGAGGCTGCTTCGCACTGGGAATACAGAGATGACAGACCCTCGCGAGTAGGGCGCAACCTAGGGTGGGAGCTAGATTTGTAACAAATATTTGTGTGTGGCAAATGCTGTATTGGATAGATGTGTAAAATTTAGGAGATTTAAAAAAGTGTGTGTTTATGTGGGAGGGGGGTTGAGATTCAGAAAAGATTTGATTAGAGAAAGAAATGTGAAAACTGGATCCTGATGGTGAGTGGGAGTTTGCTTGTCAGGTGAAGAAAGGTTTAGCATTCTAGCTCGAGGATGTAGCACGTGCAAACGTACCAGTGTTGAAGCAGCATTAATGGCACAGGAATTCATTGTGTTCCCCTGAGGGTCCAGGTACAGTGCAGGCCTCAACGGAGGCAAAAACTAAGAGCCCTGGTTATTGATAGCTAGGATCTCCTAGCCCGGTAGGGAGACCAATACACAAACAGGTAATTACTACAGAATTACCTAAGTGTCATGGTAAGGAATTCACAGGGATTTATGAGAGGTGAAGGAAGAGGGGATAGAGTTCCTGGGTGCGCTTTATTTAACCACTTTGAATCCTAATTATAATTTGGTTAAATAAGGGTTGTGATTATGTAGTGCAGTGTCACCCTAAAAGGTTGTTAAAAAAAAAAACACAACAACGTGAGAGTGAAAACACTTCAGGATATTATGTCAGGGAGAGGTGCCCTTGGAGAGGCTGAGAGTGAAATTAATGGAATAAATACTAGGGATGTGGGTAAGGATGGGATATCACAACATTTGTGTGACAGAGAGATTAGAGTTTAGGGAAAAACTCATCTCATGAGATAGAGAAAGATCCATCATCATAGAAGGGGCTTCTAGCTTGATAGTCTCCTTTCCCCTGTGAAGCAGATTTACCAGGAATAAGGCAGGAGGCTTGAGAAGAGGGGGTTGGGAATGAATGCCTGTAAGCGTGGCTTAGCAGTGGTGGGGCACAGCTATGCTTGGAGCCTATCTCTTTTAATTGGTACCTCTCTACAGTGTTCAGTTGTAGAGGGAAGAATTTATGATTGGATTTTATACGCACAGATATGCATGTACTCAGTGGCAATATATGACATTTTTGAAATTCTGTTTCCAAAAAAGAAGATAGGGGTGTGTGTGTGTGTGTATGTGTTTGTACACACATGTATATTTATATACTCCGAATCACTAGGCTCAAGACACATTCTGGATTTTAAAATTATATTTATTTTGAGTTTGGGTTTACCAAGAGTACCTTCTCAAAACAGTTCAGCAGTTTATACACAGATAGTAAAAATTCCTTTTTTTTGCTTCACCTGCACTGTTGGGAAAGTAGTGTGGGAAAGTAGATTTAGCCTTTGCTTAAATCTTAGGTTGATTTAAGAACTTAAAATTTTTATTACTCTGGAACACGGTTTCTCGTAGACGATATGCTGGAATTGCGTGTAACTTGATTTGGGAATGCATAAGGAATCTCTCTTTTTCCTGGGCTGGGGCGGCTGGTCACCACTCTCATTATCCCGTTTCGGTTGCATAAATCTCTCCATTGCTCATTAGAGTCCAATTTTTGCTCCTTTCACCAGAAAGAGTTGAGAATTCTTTCACTCAGATACTGCCTTGCCTTCAGGCACTTTATTTGAAGTTTTTCGAGCCCCAGTTTTAGTTTTAGCTAAATACAGAGCTTGTACTTATCTGCTAAGTTTTCACTTGAGAAGGGTCTCCTGTAGGATTTAGTGTTGAAGGAACTTTGACCTTCGAGAAGAGCTGTCTTGCCAGTCATTTATGACTGCTTGTAATCCTTTATGATAAGGACGAAGGCAATTCAAGTCTTAACTGGAGAATTCTAGAAATCTCCTGACCTTGGTGGAGATAGAGGACTGTTGCTTGTCCTTCCGTCTCTTGAAAGAGCCAATTCAGTCACAGTTACTTTTTCTAGAGGGAGTATTCCACTCCACTTGTCCTTTTATTACAGTCTTGTAATAACAGGGGCAAGCAAGCGTCCCCAAAACTCTGGACTGTCTTCACCTACTAGAATATTCTACTTGAGTTCCTGAACAGGGTTAGGTGTGTAGTCAGTGAATCAGTATTTGAAAATCTTTTTCTCAGGAAGGTGTGAGCCTTAAACCTAGCACATTGAACAGTCCAGAGGGGTTGCCTCCAATTTGAGCATGTTGGCATTAGAGGAGATTATGGTTCCAACAGAGAGGGGACTGGGAATGAATCAAACATATGGGAGATTTGCTGGGTAAACTGGCCAGTTTTCTGGAGCCTTTGGGTTTACATTTTCATTGAGGCTAATGTGTGTTCAAAGCCAAATATCATGTTGGGATTTTGTGTTTTTGGCAGTTGTGGTCCTATTGCTTCATCTCTTTAGCACCAAATCCCAAGGCATGAAACCAAGTATGTTGTTTCTTTATTTTGAAGGTAGTGGTCTTGCTTTTGTATCCTAATGACTCACACTTGGGAAAAAACCCTACCTAACTATGTAATGGCTTACTCACAATTAGATACCTATTATAAAAGTTAAGGGTGTTTTTTCTTTATGACAAGTATCTGTGTACCTCTAGCTGTTAAGTAGCTTATATGTGTAGTGTTTCACTTCAATTAAATTTCATGTCATTCATATCTTTGGACTCTTTTTTTTTTTTTAATACAATGTTGTATTTTATTATGCTGGTTATTATCTTGGTACCAAAACCTGCATTTTGGTCACGAAATTGGAGTTTGCTGTTCTTACTTGATGTACTTTGGGGCTTTCCTCATTTCAGCTCATTTAAATTAATGCTTAGAGTAATAGATCTGGGAGGGATGTCTGTTTTTCTAGTCCAAGCCTCTCATTCTAGAGAAGAGAGGCCATACATAGAGGGGTTAAAGGACATGAGGGGCCAAAAACTCATTGCCTGAGCAAGAATGAAGACCAGATTCTGTGTTGCCTGACTTTTAGTCAAGTGTTCTATTGTGTCCTCAAAATGCTGCTGGAGAATAGGATGGGGTAACTGCACTGGGTATAACCTGTGTGAAATATGATGTCAGTTTTAGTCCTTAATGTACTACCTTACAAATTGGATATTAAACCCTTATCTCATGTTATAACTGAATCCTTTTTCCAGAAAGGATAACAAACCTTGAGTTAGAGAGATTATTTACTCTGTGAAATGGTCTAGATGTTTGGGACTTGTAGAAGAAAATTACGCATAAAGCACAGCGTATTTACTACCAGGTTGAATCTGGAAACGTGACTTGACTTCCCTGTGCTCAGTCTCCTTGTCTTTAAAATGAGGATAGTAATGGCTCTTCATAATATTGTTGAGAATCGAATGAGTTAATATGTAAATTGTTTAGACTAGTGCCTGGCACATAGTACCACTGGAAAGGGTCGGTTATCAGTGTGGGAGAGCTTTCCCTTTCACTTCACCTTCCCTCAGGACTCCTTGGCAGCCCAATTAGATGATTTTCATTTAGTCTTATATAGGGGGCTCTACTTTCTTGATGTTTCCCTGAGAAACAATGGACCATATTTTTTTTTTTTGCTTTGATATTTTTTTGTTTTTCTTTCACTATACTACTAGATACTTATTTAATAAAAGACATATAGAATGTTAACTTTCATTGACTGTAGTTTTCTTCTTTTTAAGGATTTGGAACGCCCTGACCGATAATTACGGAAATGTCATGCCTGTGGACTGGAAGTCATCCCATACCAGGACCTTGCACTTGCTCACGCTGAACCTCGCAGAAAAAGGGGTAAGTTAGGAACTGAACCATTAGTTTCCCAATGACTGATTCTGAAAATGGAACTAAAAAGGAGCATTTCTGATTAACCAAAATTCGTGAGCTGCCTCCTACTTCCAAGCTTGCAGCAATTGGACTGGCCCTCTATTGCTGTAGTCTACTTGCTAGCACATTCTACCAGTTCTTCCTCAGCACATACTCCCTTTTTTTGTTTAGCCAAATTTTCATCACCTGTGTATGAGCATCAATGACCAGCATTTTTTTCCCACCTTAAATAACACAATTTTGATATGCTCAGAACACTCAATGAGAATCCTAGCCTTTGGTCTAATATCCAGGGTCCGGCAGAAGTAACGCCGTTGAGTGTTTGGTAGGGTACGTGACTGTCTTGCATGAGATGGATGGCGATTTGAACATTTCACCTAAAATGTCATATGGTGCGCTCAGTATGATATTATTATGGTACAGAATTACATGCTTAAGATTTTGTAATAAAAGATTTTTATGTAATAAAAAAGGGACAGTATTTGTGCTGGACCCTGTACAATCATGTGCCACTTAGTGACAGGGACACATTCTCAGAAATGTGTTGTTAGGAGATTTCTTTGTCATGTAAGCATTGTAGAGCACACTTACACAAGCCTAGGCGGTGTAGTCTGCTGCACACCTAGGCTGGATGCCTTGGCCTGTGCATTACTCCCGGGCTGCAAGCCCGGACAGCATGCTTACAAAACAACACGGGATTAAATCAAGTGCAAGAGAAAAATGAAGCAAATCAAGATGCACAGTAAACACGAGATGTACAGGGCATAACACGGCACACTGACTTACAACAAACATTTAAAGAAACATTCTAAAATAACGATAAAAAGTATACTATAGTAAATACATAAACCAGTATTGTCATTGTTTATTATCGTAAGCAGGTACTACGTACTGTGCGTAATCGTCTGTGCTGTGCTTTATACAGCTGGCAGCACAGTAGGTTTGTTTACACCAGCATCACCACAAACACCTGAGTGATGCAGTGCGCTAGGTGTCACTAGGCAATAGGAATTTTTCAGCTGCATTATAACCTTATGAGACCATGATGGTATATGTGATTAGTGGTTGACCCAGATGTTGCTATGTGGCACATGACTGTATTGAGGGTACTGGAATATCAACGGAGTTTACTTTTTGATGAATCGAATGACTTGCTGGATGCAACATGTTCCCCAAAGACTGTATTAGTGGGAATATTGCGGATCTTTTACTAGACATTGTAAAGACAATGTAAAGACATTTCAGTTCTTGGCTTTTAAATGTGATCTTGGCTAACTGTTGGAGGCTGCTGTGTTTGTTTTGGTATTGTAAAGTGAAGATGCCTTGAGGAAGAAAAATGAGCACAGGTGATGGGACAGCAAGGGGGACAGAACAGGGCGGAGAATTGCTTTAAGTGGAAAATTACACTGTTGCTTAAAGCTGATGAGAAATGTAGCCAAATTATAGCAGTTTCAGGGCCTGACTGTTTAAGTTCCTCATCAGATAACGGTGTAAGCCCATGCCAGATCTTTTGGCATGCTCTATGTTTCATTAGTGTATTTGTGTAATTACTGGGAGTTTAATGCTGTAGCCTGTCAGTATTTTAAATAGCATTGTTAATGTTTTGTGAAAATGATCTTTTTAAGTATATGATTCAGAAAAGAGTGGTGCCATTATTTTCTAGTAAAAGAATCCCGACTGTATTTCCCAGTGGTCTAGTAGATACAGAATTTGTACCGTTTGCTCTAATTATTAACCCCATTAAGATGTTTTGCAGACTGACCTGACGCACATGTGATGAAAAGGAATGCCATCAAATATCTTCTGTTCTGTCTTCTGTTTATTTAGATCCTAGCTATCATTTTGGACTTTGTTCAAGTTTCCTTTCCTCTCTGAAGCTTCCTATTACTGTTTTAGCCTTTGCTGATCTCATGGAATTATACAATTTTAGAGTTGGAAGGGACTTTAAAGGCCACTTAATCCAACCTCTCACTTGGGGGGAATCCCCACCTCCAGAATGCCTGACAGATGGTGATTCAGCCATGGCCTAAATCCTTGCACGGAAGGAAAATGCACTCCTCCCTGTGGAGTCCGTTACACTTCGGATGTGAAAGCCTGACAATTTACGTGTCCCATAGAATTTAGCCCATTGTCTCTTGGGTGCTAGTCCCCACAGCACCCAGGAGACTGTCCATGTCTCAGATCACTACTGTGTTCTCTTATTGGCTGTATGTTTCTGGGTCTGTCATTAGATTGTGACTTCCTGGTAGGTGCCTTTGTATTTGTCTCTTTAGTAACTACCACTGTGCCTGGCATGTAGTCAGTACTAAGACAGGTGTTTGCTTACCTTCTGAAAGCATTCTTTGGATTAATGCAATTGTAAAACAGGGTGTACAGGAAATTATTTTCATAATGGGAGAAGAAATTTGATGGGTCTTTAAGGCAGCTAGTACCATCCAGATTCTTGCGCAGGCACTTTTTTTCCCATTTGAAGCAGCTCCGTTTCCACAGAGGGAAACAGCACACCAGCTCTGTATCTAGCTCTGGTGCTGGAAGAAGTGATGTTCGGAATGTTTGGCAAAGGAAAGGCACATTGATGCCGAATGGGAGAGTGAATAATGATACCCATGACAGCCAAGGTTAGTTTTCAAAGCCTGAAAGGGATTCCAGCCCCTAACATATGCCATCTCTGTGCGGAATGGGCTTGGCTCCCTCTCTGGAACGATGATCTGGGATCATTATTTCTGTCGTTATGGAAATTTATTCTTATGCTTATAGTATCACTCGTGTGTTTTGACAATAGCTGTAAACCTCTTCTAAATCCAGGGCCTTTCTTGACCATGCTTATATGTGGGATGCTTCTAAGTCATTTGCCCTGGGAACGTGGCCTGTGCCCCCTCCTTCCTCCTACCATGAGTGTTTTTTCAAGGACTTCAGCTTGTTTATGCACCTTTGTATCTTCAAGAGTAGAAATGGTAAGAAGGCAGTAACATCTTCCTTAGGAGTAATTTTCAAATTACAACTTTTTGTCTGTAAGACACAACTTGACCATGAGGGGAAAGATAAAACAAAACTATGGTCTTCCAGTTGCAACACAGAAGAATGGTTGGGCGGCTGTGGAAATGTAAGGACCAGTGAAGTTAATGTTAGGTCTACTCCACATCATCCATACACCGTTATGGTCACATTGTGGAATTTTTCATCTCCACTTCTTCAGTGTTGAAGTCAAACACCCTTTCTCATCAGGAGTCTAATCTCTTGGCTCTTCTCTTTTCTTATTAAAAGCATAACTGTCATAGTTTAAAAAGTGTACTGGAACTATAGGACCTAACGTGGGAAAGGGGCCTCTGCCCTCCTTACCCCGCCTTTGGTTTCTATTGATCTGAGGCAACCACTTTCAACTGCTTCACCTATGTCTTTAGCAGGTAACGTACTTATATCATTTTACTGGATTTTATTTTTTAATTTTAGACTTTATCCACTTTCTTCTACCCACAGGATGAGGGTTCAGCTCTCTCACAGTCCTTCCTCCAACCGCAGCACTATAACCCTCACAAAAACTTCCCCTTCCCTTATCTTGCCAATATAATTATATCAAATTATTGGTTAATTTAATCCTCATCCTTTATATTGACTATTTAAATATTCACAGTTGACCTGTTTTACTACATTATGATTAAATTTTCACTTGTAATTTTTTTCTTAGAGTAATAATAATTGCCTTTTTGTGATTAATTTAGGTTACCATTAGCTCACTAATTCAGCTTCAACAGAGCCATAAAGCTCATTTTAGTAATTGGAATACACTAGATAACCAATCAGTTTCTTCCTCTCCTCTTTCTTTTTCTGGATGCTTTTCTTGATGTGCCCCGCAGTTAACAATTCTAACCTGAACTGGTTGCTCTCTAGTTTAGCTCACAGCTGTCATTCTGGGATCTTCACTGTCGTTACAAGGATGCCCTTCACCTCTTTCATGTATTAGATCCCACATCTTCTTCCTTTTTGGTTTTCCTCTTCGTTTTAACGGAACATATTCTGCAGTAGCTTTCTGAGAAGTGGACATGAGAGGTAAATTTTTTGAGAACTTGAATGTCTGAAAATGTCTTTATTCTAAGTCCCGTCCTATGCATTACCTCAGCTAGGATTCTAGGGTGGAATTAATTGAAATGAGGAAATTATCAATATATTGATTGTTTTCTAGCTTCTGTTGTTGCTATTGAGAATTCAAGTGACATTTTGATTCCTTATCCTTTGAAGGTGATTTTTTTTTTCTCCCTGGAAGCTTTTAGGTTCTTTTTCTCACACAGCATTCTGAAATTTCATGATGACATGAGGGAGGCTGTGGCCAGGCCTTCTTCCTGGGCTGATGGCGCACTGAGAAATAGAATGAGGACATGTGTCATCGCTGTGGTGCAGCGTGGCGTTGCAGTGTGTGGGCGTAGGTAGACTCTGGGGTGCCGACGTGGCCCCTCTCCCCGCCTGAGGTCACGAGAAGCAGCCCCCCAGCGTCCCTTTGCGCGTCCCACCCTGCTTCTTCCTCTGTGGGCTGTGTTTGCCATTAAACTTCCCACAATCCTGTAGGAGGAGGTAGGGACCTATAATATTCAGTTCTATCCTCAATTTTATGTGTATCCTCTGCATTGATAAATAAAATAATTTTCCCAAGTAAAATGCAATTTTTAAGATTATATGCTATCTAATAGGAATACATGGTTTCTTCTTACATAGCTCATTGCTGCCCACTTGTCCTTTGGGAACTCAACGTGTACTACTCCTTCCTGAGGAATCAAGTTCTAACTATGGTTCTTTCATCATCTAAATAGTCAGGTCACATTACCTAGATGATAGATGGATGATCACTTGCGCATTTTAATCTTGAGTTTTCCAGGTAAGGTTTTACAATGAGTATTAGTGCCGAACTCTTAAGTCATTATTAAAGGGGCTCTTTATATTGCTGTGGATAGGGTTAAGGGACACCAGCGGGGCCTGGTGTCGTACCCTGGGCCTGGCAATAGCAAGCAGTACTAGCACCACGTGGCCTAAAGAGTTACAGAGGGGAAGAAGTCACCAGAAGCCAGAGAGGGTAGCCGCGGGGGAGAGGACGCAGCCTCTGGCAGTCGCAGTGAGGGAGACGGCAGGATTAATGCCCAGCCCTCGTCTCCCCGCCTCCAGCCTCCTGCTGGTGTCTGCGAGCGAGGTCGAGGTCGACCCCGACTGGAAGCCAGAAGTAAGGGGCATCCTCTAATGTTGTCCCTAAAGGTCAGCCTCCTGGGCCACAGAGCAGTGTGGAAAGTGGAGCTATGGAGAGTCTCCAGCACAACTAGCTTTAAACATGTTTTGGAACACAGAGAGACTCTTTTATGGGAGAAGAGGAGTTCAACTGACCAGGTTGAGTGTGGCCCTCACGTTCCTGTCTGCCAGGGAGGTGACCACTTATGTTTTACTCTGAATGTCAGAAGTTAGTTTGCAAGTAACTAACTATGTTTTCTGTGGAATTTTAATATACACCAATCTTACTATTAGATCGTTCACTAAATAACATTTGCTGCCTACCCTGCCCATTACCTCCCCCACCACCCCGCCAAATATTATAATTCCCTACAGCTTCCTAACAAATGCCCTATCCTTGTATTTTTGTACTTACCAGTCAGCTTTGTAGCTCTCTTCCCATGAAAAAACAGCTAAGTGTGTATCTGTAGGGGATGCTTGCAGCCCCTTAGCAATTTCATATTTATTCCACAGGGTCCGGCAGAAGTGATGCCATTGAGTGTGCCTGGTAGGGTATGTGAATGTCTCGCATGAGATGGACAGCAATTTGAATATTTCACCTAAAATGTCATTTGGTGTGCCTGAGTGTGATAACTATGTTCTAGAATTACGCGCTTATGATTTTGTATAAAATATTTGGCATAGGTTACCAGCTCATAAAAAAGGGGTGTTATTTGTGGTGGACCCTGTATATTCTTCTCATTTCATTTGGAGGCGAATATGCAAAGCACCTCACAGAGCACTTCACTTTGCAGAGCAACTGTAATATGTAATAATCTTTCCCTTTGGAGGGAGAGCTCTCAGCTGATGCTTCCCTCAAAGACACTTCGACTTTGTTGTGACCAGGAGGTCTTGCTTGTAATAGTGGGCTATGTTTTTTTTTTTTAGGTAAGTGACAGCTTGCTCTTTGATACATCAGACGAGGAGGAGTTGAGAGAACAGCTGGATATGCATTCAATCATCGTCTCCTGTGTAAATGAGGAGCCCCTCTTCACTGCAGATCAGGTACAAGGCAGAAATCCATCAGCCAAAGGGAAAGGGAACTTGAGCTGAAAAATGATTTCTTACTGTGGCAATAAGTGATGGGTTGTTGGAGTTTATTGTTTTTCCAATACTTCCTGCTTATGTAGGCTTACCAGTTGGCACCTCCACTGAGAGGAGAAGAAGGCATGTAACCTGAAGCAGGTGGGATTATGCTAGTTGGAAAGATTTTCCAATGTAGACAGTTTTCCAAGGTAGGCATTGTTAAAACCAGTACAGCAAGTTACTCAGGGAGTATTGCTTACAGTGGAAGCAGAAAAAATATTGTGACTTTTCTTATTTCTTTAAATTTAGCCCGTCATGGGCAGCCTATACTATATCTGTGTAGGAATTAGCTAGTTTCTCTCAAACCTATGCAAAAACCATTAGCATTTATTGGATGTACATATTGTGTAGTCTAGGGAGAAGTGAGCATTATTCCTGTGGAATGCTCTAATAATGTCAACCCTGTATTCATTCAAAACCAGTTGAATCAGCTTTCTCATTTTCTGAATACTCTTCCCACTTCTGTTGCGTTGTCAAAATGTGATGCAAGAACTTCTTCCTGAAATAAAACATTCATGGCTTCTTGGACTGTGACTTCTACCACACTATATTTTTAGGCTGGAAAAACAAGGTCAGTAAAGAGATATATTATGGTCAGGTTGGGAGGAGTATATTTTAAAATGTGCCATTTCGGTGCTCCTTAGCCATATTTGAGGTTGGGTTGTTCTAGGCTTGAGGAGAGCGAGGTGCTTTCAAAGCAAGATAATAGCTTAGAAGCCTGAGTGGGGTTGGCAGTTTGTTCCAGGGAAACGCATGACCCTGAGAAATCATTGTCTCCTCAGTAAATGGCCTGAATACCAGAAGCTGTCCCTGCTTTTAAGCCTTAAAGAAATGATTGCATAGTCTCTATCAAGTGCCTCATTTTACTGTTCTTAAGTACCTATTTTTGGAAAATCTTATTAATTGACATAATCCATACCTCTTCAGATTTACTTTTGTTTTCCTTTTATTGTAAGTGGTACATCTTAGGCTTGCTGATTCAGTTTGTATTTTCTCTGATAGTTTTTTTTTTTAACACTTATGTCTTGTTTTCTGTAACTACTGTGTAATTTTTCTGGATTTCCTTAAATTTCCTCTGAGTTTTATATCCTGCTCAACTTTTGGAATCTGGAATAGGACAAGATGCTGTTGTAAAATTTGAGCAACATTGCATATGACAGCAGGTTATTATTTAAAGTAAGGTAGATACATTTCTGAAATTTTCCTGCTTTTGTGCAGCTTTTTCTCTTTTCAAGCTTCCATATTTTCAGTAATTTTTGAATATCCCTTCATGTTCCATTGAATTAATATATTAATTTTTTTCTGCTGTTAAAAGAGAATTTTGCTGCCATAGAGGTAATTTCTTGCTTTTGATATACCTTTTTTTAAAAATATTGTTGCATTTTCTAAATTTTATGTCACTTTGATTAAATGGCTTTACATTGAGCACTTGTTTGTGGTATGTGGTAAATTTTCTGTCCTTCACTTTTGTTTAACTATAACTATGATCTGGCTCTGGCAGGTTGGAAGTGAATTATACGTGTGTTTGTAGCACCATTTCTCAGTGCGAGATCTGATAGGGTCTGCTGAATCATGGTGGACGTATTGAATCATATTCTATTTAAGTTTGTATTTAGTATATTGTAAATTTTTTTGGATAAACTCTGTTCCCTCTTACAACTGAAACTTGATCATTGGGAGCAGGCACTCCTGCACACTGTTGATCAATGGAGAATTTGGTGGGCTTCAGTCTGGCTGCCTCATGAGTGCCGTGTTTCAGGCGGGTTGTTTTCCATGCACATGCAATTAACAGTGGTGTGTATATTTTGGAAGGTTATTGAAGAAATTGAAGAAATGATGCAGGAATCACCTGACCCGGAAGATGATGAAACACCCACACAGTCAGATCGGCTTTCGATGCTTTCCCAGGAAATTCAAACTCTTAAGAGGTCTAGTACAAGCAGTTATGAAGAGAGTAAGAAACTCTACTTAAATCAGTGCTCTTTGTGCTATTTGGTATATTTTAAGCATATTGTGTGCCTATCACCAGAAATGTTTGCTTCTCGCTGGCTGGGTTGCATGCCCTTCCCCACCCTCCATTAACACTTGGGACATAAGTTGGATCAGGGGCTATGTCATATTCACCTCTGAATCCTGCATTCGCCAGCTCGAACAAAGCTGGTGGCTCTAACAGAGTGCCCCAGGCTGGGTGGCGTAAGCAGCATGCATTTGTCTCCTCACAGCTCTGAATGCTGAGAGTCTGAGATCAGGGTGTCAGCAGGGTTGGTTTCTTCCGAGGCTTCTCTCCTTGGCTTGCAGGTGGCCCTCTTCTCGCAGTCCTCACTTGGACTTTCCTCAGTGTGCATCTGTGCCCTAGTCTCGTTTTACAAGGGCACCGGTCACACTTGTCAGGGCCCACCCTCATGACCTCATTTTAACTCAATTCTCTCTTTGAAGTCCTTCCTCGAAAACAGTTGCGTTCTGAGGTATGGGGGTTAGGACTTCAGCGATGTCCACTCTCTCACCTGAGGGGAAGTGCTCAACTGAACTGGGGTTCCAGGGAATAGTCTTCCTTTTCGTCCTCACAGTACTCACCAACACTCCCACCTTGGGCTATGTGATGAAATATGCATTTATTTTAACTCTTTCAAGTGGACTTCTCTCTTCAGATGTGCGCCAGAACCCTGTTCAAGGGCTTGTGATTTCTTGTCCGCAGGTAGTTTCTGTATTCCGTCTGCTTTTCCCCATGTTTGGTTTTTTCTTTGTACAGTTTTGAAAGTCTTGACTGAAATATTATTTATGGGTCGATTTAGTAAGTAAAAAAATCGATATACTTCTTTTCTCAGCCATTTGAGAAGTTTGCCCAGCCACCTCCACTTAGACCTGCCCACTGGAAGCTTTAAGATTCTGAGACCGTCACAGACAAGTTAATTGCTTGAAATATGGTTTTGCTCTTTAGCATGAAATACCCTGTTGTGCCCCCTTGAAACATGTTTGCCTTAGTATCTGCTGTGCTTTGCCTTTGGTCATAGGAGTAAAAAGGCTCTCAGTATCTGAATTAAATGAACTCCTGGAAGAAATTGAGACTGCCATTAAGGAATACTCTGAAGAGCTGGTGCAGCAGTTGGCCTTGCGAGATGAACTAGAATTTGAAAAGGAAGTGAAAAACAGCTTTATTTCTGTTCTCATTGAAGTGCAAAACAAACAGAAAGAGCACAAAGAAACAGCCAAGAAAAAAAAGAAACTCAAGAATGGCAGCTCTCAGAACGGGAAGAACGAGAGAAGTCATATGCCGGGCACAGTAAGTGATGTTTTGCAGGAGGCATGGCCCAGTGGAAATGGTTTCCATGGTAATCCCGGCCCTTCAGCCGGCAGCAGTGGGCTGGCCTCCAGGGGCAGGGGTGGGGTCCTGCTCACCAGGATGCTAGAGGGATTCTCTTCAAGAAAGCACCCCAACCAGCTCCTTCCGAGAGGTGGAGAGGTGTGTTCGTGGTGACAGCGTGGAGGTTGCTGGGGTAGTACAGTGCTGAAATGTGGATGAGGGAGAGGCAGACTAAGGAAGGAGGATGTCTTCAAGGGAAAAAGCTTTCAAAGCGACCATTTTAATACATCAGAATGTTATTAGTGCTCATTTATGTTTGGCTGGTGGGCTTAAAAGGGGGGTATTTTTCTGATTTTTGCTTATCTCTTACAAGTTGTAGAATAAAAAATTAAAAGGGGTGCATTGAGAGGTAGCCGAACTGCGCTGAGCCTAAAAACACAGGTTGATCTGTAACAGCTTCCTCCCAATTCATCAGTGAAGGTGGTGTACGAAGATAGAGGCAGTTATGCGACATCAGCCATTTGGCTTGGTGCTTGACAGACTAGAATATTGCTGACTGGTGAAAACGAGTTTAGAGGATTTGGGTCTTGGACTCTTCGTACAGAGTTTTTTGTTTTCTGCTTTCTCATTTTTCTTAAGTGGTCCTCTTAATTTTACTTGATTAAAATTTATCATAAACATTAACTGTTAATTATGAGGCGCATTTCCTTATGGATCTTACGGTCTTTCTCTTGCTTTGATCAGCTAAGACCTTGACTATTGCCACCTTCATTTTGTTTATATGAAAGAATGTTTTATTTTTAGGTATGATTAGACAAAAGGATCCATTTTTTTAAATGGTATGTACTTTTTAAAGTTCATGGTATTGATAACATGGCAATACAGATCACCACAAACTAGCTATAATGATGTGCAGTAATATAAATTCTGTCTTTAAGTTTTGATATGTTGTTTCTAAAGAAAACTTATCAGAGAAATAGATCTCATTGACTACAGGCTGATGGAATCCAGGAAAGAGAATGCAGTCTGGGTTGCTGGGCCACCAGTGCGAGGTTGATACAAACAAAAAGAATCTTACCATTTATAGCCTATTCATTGTGCTGTGCTGGACCTGTGGGTAAAAGGATATTTTCTTAGTCTAATGTCTACTTGTACATATAAAGGGTATAGCTTATAAACTGACTTTGAAAAAGTTCTCAGACATGTGGTACAAAATATTTTCAAGAAATAGCAATATTGGTTGACTAGTTGTTTAGTCACTTCTAGTGACTACCTGGGAAAAAAAGACAGTTGAAAAAAAACAAACACAGAACATTTATCTGAATGTACAGTCCTGGAAAGTTTGCTTTAAAACACCAGGAACAATATCTTTTAGTTTTAAAAATTGCACCCTTTAAATTGCCTTGTTATACAAGTGTGATGAAATAAAATGGCGTACTTAGAAAGTCATAGCATGGTTGGTAATTTCTGCCTCTCTGCTTTTAGAGATTACATGTAAATCCTCCATTAATTGGTGTTAACTCTTGGCTTCAGAAAATAAATTTACCCCTAAAGAAGTTTAAGGCTTCTTTTTGTAGCTCCCACATAAAGAGTTAGAATGGATTCATTGTGTAATTTTACATGGCATTTATATTGAAAAATGGCAAGGCAGCATGTAGGTCTTACTTGAACCTTTATTAATCTTGAAATAGATTCATAATAGTAAATTTTTTTTCTTTTAACAATGCTTGGACTTGTGAAGTTTGCCTCTTGGATCTTGGTTTATTTGTGTCGAAACCTTTAATCGGTCTAGGAATGGCATTGCTAAGCTCGTGGTACTAGTTGCCTCTAGCTTTCTCAAGCCTAAAATGCTGCAGAAAGACTGTCCCATCTGTGACCTATGATTCTGAAAGGAGCCTGAAAGCTAGGATTCTGAAAGTAGTGGCAGGTGGTGCAAAGAACCCTGAAGTGAAATGGTCAGTTGGGGAAACGACATTCCAAAAGGTGTTACCTTCCCAGACATTTTATGTAACATGCAGTTTTGGCCAGGCTTGATCTCTGTGTCTTAGTCATCGTTGGTGATACTAATTTCTGAAAACGGGTGACCTTTTTGCAGATACGCGTTATCTGGTTTCTGATAACATTGGCCATCCTTTTCTTTCTACCTTAGATATTTTTTGTTTCATTAGCAGGACTTGGACTTCTTCCTTCAATGTGAAATAGTTTCCTTCCATTTCCTTACCCCTATTTCACTGAAACAAAACATCAGTTTGTGGTTGGTATAGCACTTTATCCAGAATTGCTAGCTTGTTCTCTTTGCTATAAAGATAGTGTAATGAAATGCCCGGGTGGGAATAGAGCAGACTTAAACTTTTTAGGTGTTAATTTTGGAGACATCTTTTGTTTTAAACATTTTCTGCGGTGAAAAAACGGGGCTTAGGGTTGCTATTTAGAGCATTAGAAAATTTCTTTGGGAATATGGAAATACTGTTAGATATGGAAGAAAATATTGAGTCTCATATAAAAGTGAAATGTTACCTTGATTTGTTTTTAGTTTTTTAAAATAATATGCTACATGTTGGGTAAGCTAAAACAACATCCATTCATTCAGCAGGTATTTGCAAAGTGTCTTCCTTGTGCCAGGTATGCTGTACATAGAGTGCTGAATGAAATCGACCAAGCCCGTGGTCTCCTGGAGCTTACATTCTAATGAGGGAGACAGGCAATACACAAGGAAAAGAATAGGCAACATGCCCTGGCTGATGTGGCTCTGTTGCCAGCCTGTGAACCAAAGGGTTGCCGGTTCTATTCCCAGTCAGGGCACATGCCCGTGTTGCGGCCAGGTCCCCAGCAGGGGGCGTGCAAGAGACAACCACACATTGATGTTTCCCTCTTTCTCCCTTCCTTCCCCTCTCTCTAAAAATAAATAAATGCAATCTTTAAAAAAGAATAGGCAATGTAATTTCAGTAGTACAAAATGTTACCAAGAAAACAAAAAACTGGATAAGGCGATCCATGGCGACACTGTTGGGGAGCGGCTTTCGAAAGGGTGGTCGCTATGTCACTGCTTCTCCTGACTGGCAAGGCACGCTGTGCTGTCCTTTTGCAGCTCTCCCTTTGGAGGGGAGGTTGGAGGAGTAGATCTTCTCTTTGAAAAATGACACTAAAGAGAGCAGAGGACTTTGTATCCCCCTTGTCTTGTTCAGCATCTGGAAGAGCAGAGGGGTGGGGAGGGTAGAGGCAGGGATGACTGAAGGCACCATGCGTTAATCAGCGCGTCTTTCTCTAGGCGGGCTGTGCTGTTTCGGGCATTGGTGCCTCAGGGTATGTCGCAGCCTTTTTGCAGAGTGGCCCTCCTTTCCTACCTCCTCTGTCCACTTGGATTTTTTTTTTTTTTTTTAAACTCATCCTTCAAAAATCATGGTCAAGGATTGTCTTCCTTTCTTAGAACCTTCCCCGTAGCTCCTCCTCCAACGTGGAACTGACTACTCTCTTCTTTTGGGGTTACTATTACTCCTTTTAACTCTTTCTGTTAGCACTGCTGTTACCACAGTACCGTTTTTCATTTGTTTTAATGTCTTCCTGAAAACATGTTTCCCTAAGGATAGGAAATGTAACTTCATTTTCTTGGTATCCCTAGGTCCAACATTAAGAACCTAATACATTTCTGCTGAATAAATGACTAAAAGGAAGATAAACTTGCAAATCTGTATTTTGACCTTGGATCTTTCTGCCCGGTGCCAAATCCAAGGGGACTGACTAGAACATTAAGAGCTTTGGGTTAAGAGCTATGTTTGAATCCTACTTCTGCCACTGGGTACATACCCCCTTGAACTTCAGAAGAATTTGATGAATTAATATGTACAAGACCAGCATGTACCCGGAGTAAATGCTAGTTATTATATGTCTATCTGCCTACTAGACACTTCTTCTTGAATATGTTGTAGGAGTCTGAAATTTATTCCATCAAACCTTAGTTACCATTTTCCTAAAGTTGAATTTATTGCTTATATATTTTTCTTTTGGTTAGTGAAACTGCAGTCATTCACTGAAACAAGGGGAATTTTTAGGTCAAAGCATACGTAGTTTCAAAGGGTTTAAAATAAGCAGCTTTCTACATTGGTCTACAGAAACGTAACCCAGTACCAGCAAGAGTTCGTGGCCATTTCCCCACACCTCCAACCAGCAATGGATATTATTACTTTTTAATATATTCTGATCCAATAGACAAACAGTGGTTTTATCTGTTGACTGTGTTCTTTTGTGAGTTGCCTATTCTGTCACCTTTGAGATGTTTTTTGCATTTGTGAGGGTGCAGCTACTTCTGATGTCCCGGTAGCATACTCTGCTGTAACCATTGGCTTAAGTCTGTCCTTGGGAAGAATACGCACTTCCCAAACTGTCATACATATTGTTTCCATGGCACCTCACCTCGTTTTTGGTGCTTTGCTCATCACTTAGGGCGTGTTTGTTGAATTGAAACTTCACTGTGAAGGAGATGGGATCCCAGAGGATTTCATTTTGCAGTATTTGGATTATTGTTGTTCTTTCAGGGATTTTGTTTTTTGCCAGTCTTTTGTTTACATCAACTAGATTTCACAGGCCTCCGCATTTCAATGGCAGGTCACATGAGTACAAGTTGAAGTACATCAGGTTATGTTTTAATTTAGTAGTGTTTGTCATCTTGAGTTATCTGAAGTTGCAAAGACATTGGTGTACACCTGCTTAGCATCATACCTTACTAAACTTATATGGATGAAAATGGACATACTTCCTCCTTTAGAATTCAGTCATGTTTTTAAATTAAATGTCATGCCATGTGTAAGTTTGCTTATTCTAAGTTTAGGGATGAAAAAAATAGGAATTCATAATCTGACATAATCACATTGAACTTTCAGGAGGAAGTTCTACCGTGTTGCTTTCACCATCAGCAAAAAGGTATAATTGCTTCAGTCTACCCTGAAGTTTATTCTGAAAATTTTTGGGATATTAGCAACTCA